TCTGTGGGAGCGTACCGGTCTGTGGGAAGGAATCTGCGGCAGAAGGCGGTCTCGGAGGTAGCCGGGTCCTATGCCATGGAGCGCTTTAAAGGTGGTAACTAATACCTTAAAGCGCACCCGGAAGGCCACTGGTAACCAATGCAGCTCGCGCAGCAGCGGTGTCACATGGGAGCGACGAGTCCCTCCCAACACCGCCCGTTATCTGGACAGATTTCAAAGTTATGTCAGTATCTACGGATTCAGACAATAAAAACAATGAGAAAACCTGGAGAGGAAGTTCATGTTATGTCTTTCCACATGAAGCCACATTTTCTGTTATTTTAATGAGGATTTCATTTGTCTGAAATTTTGTTGGTTTGAGTTTTTTTGGTGTTCCCATCAAAATGATGTACTGACAATTAAATGGATGTGGAAACCATTGCAGGAGCAGGATCTTCATGGGAGAAACTGATTTGTACATGAAGCTTCTGAATCAAGTGAGTTATAACTCACATGGACAAGCCTGATTATCTCCCTACATGAGCCTTTAGAAATCTAAAGATAGATATGATGAACAATAGTGCTCATTTTTCTTAATGAAAGTCGGCAACTCATTGAGAATGGCTAATCTCAATGTTCTGCATTTTGATTAAATGTATGAATCAAATCTACTCAGGTTTATGCAAGGGAAGGGTTTTTTTTGAAAAGTCCCCATCTTCACATATATTGTAGAAAGTTTTGATCCCAAATTTTCACTTCACTTGATTTGCAGGGAAAGTCTGCATATCTCTAATCCACAGATACAATAAAATGTATTAATTGTGTGGCTGAACAAAGGCTGATTTTAAGAAAACTTTAATTTAAATATATAGGAAGATACAATTAAAGGGACTAATCATATTGAAACGACTACATTTACAAGTGTCTCCATTTTTCATTTTGGAGGAGGAGGAGGACTTCACATATACTGCTGGACAATTTGTTGAATTCTGCTAGCATCAAACAAACATTATAATGTGCTAGTTGAAGATAGAAAAAGCATGATAACAATCACACTAAATATAAAAGCTAATAGAGGTTCCATAGACCAGTAGCATAGGAAAGTAATCAATGAAACACATTCATCAGGGATTGTGCAATTACCTTCAATTTCACAGCCCAGCAGTTCCAACCTTAGTCCCAATCCAGCATGGGTGGCTCTTTCTGGATAAACACGGATGAATCTGGTTGTCAAGGGGTCAAAAGTGCGAAGTTCAGGAGTATCATAGTTGGTGTTGCCTTCAAAAATCTGTAAAGTATACATACAAAATTGTGCTGCTTAACAATCACAAATTGGTTTATTTTTAGCTAGTTGGCAGGTTTTTTTTATTTGCTTAACAACTGAACAGTAATCATAGTTTTGATTATTTTATGAAAGAGGCTCATTTCTTTAGAAAATGAAAGAAAGAAAAGATAGTTGAAAACTTTCTAAGAAATTGCATGTCTTGTTTTCCAGAAATCTATCCATTAGGACTAGTAAGGAAGTCAAATGTTTTAATAGGATATCTTTAAATGAAGCTTACATTTGGAATTTACACGGATATCTTCAGGAAAAGATTTTTTCTAAATGTCAGTCACCATTCATGTAGTTACAATGGAAAATTTCAAGAGAAAAATTTTACCCTGATGCTTACAGTTATATTGCAAGTATGCAAGTTAAACTTTAGAAACTATAGCTGCTGAAAGAGGACAGATGTCTATGAAACCAACTCTAAGAATGATAAATTATTGTAATTTGCTACAGATACAGTGTTTGTGAGATTTCTTGGAAAACAGTCAACTATAGAAATATTTGATTTGGACCTTATTAGTTTTAATTGTATTAATAACACAATCTCAACCAGAACTTAATTATTTTGAAGCCCAGACTTCTTAATATTAAGTGTAAACCTACACCTGGAAGCAGATCTATTTAAAGCCAATCATGTGGTCAATTCCTAACTTTTCCTACAATAGAAGATAATGATGTATAATAAAGAATTTTTGAACTAGCACAAAATATATTTTGTTTAAGCTGTCACTGAAAAGATCAGAATAAAATTACTACATCATTCAAGTGATTTTTGTGAAAATGCCATAACATGGAAATCAACCATATTCATCTTGATTCGTACTTCTGACCTCTTACTAGCTTTGCTTCAACTCAAGCTTGATTTCGTTTTCATGTTAGCTCTATGGAAACCACTGAGAAATGATTCCAAGGGAAAACTGCTTTGTGTCAAAGTTATGACAGCCACAGAATGGGTGCTTTATAGCCCATAAAGTACTCCCTTGCTGTCATAAATGTACATGCTGGCCCCTCCTGTGGTCACATGACTGTATGTTGGGTGGATTAGTGTGATCATGAATTGCAGTGATTTTTGCATTTTATTTTGAGGCAAAAAAACCATTCAAATGAATGGCTTCACTTAACAACTGTAGTGCTTGCTTAATATCTGCAGTGTTCACTTAATGACTCCTACAAAAAAGATTGGGAATTTAGTTCTGATCACATAAAGGCCTCAACTTATGATTATAAAGACTTCCGATCATTTAAGCCAAGACTTCCAGTAGAGTGTTAATTAAGTACATAAATTTTTATTTGGAAAGAAAATCCTTCTTGTGAATCAGAATGATTCATAAAGTGAAGAGGCCAGTTACTTGGGCTTCAAAAGAATGTCTCAGAAGTTGAAATGTTTACTTGGCTTTTAAAAATTTCATTTGCACAAATATTTAGATCAACCCTATTCATATACAGTATACAGTAGCATTGCATTCTTGGCTCTTGATTTATGACCTGGATTTAGGTTATTTGTTATCTAAAAATTCCTTAGTATTGATTTGGTGACCTGTCTATTCCTTATCTATTTCCCTTTCTTTAAATGTGAGGAACACATTCATTAATGATTGTATTCTTTATTAAGTCTATTTTGATTTCAAGGGTGCCAAAATTCCCAAAATGTGTTTGAAGGTATGGTGTATTTATTTATCTCTTCAGCATTCTACGGCCTGTGTTATATAAATCATATACTTTATAACCACATATGGATAGATGTTCTAATTATAAACTCTATGCATACAGGATGTATGCTTTTGAATTAGGTAGCATCATCCTAAGCATAATTATCCAAAAATAAATCCAATTGTGCTCAAAAATATGGATCTCCTGCTCAAATTTAAAAAAAGAAGCAATTGGTATATTGAGAGCATTTAGAAAATACATCTAATGGAAGAGAATTCAAAGGTTATAATTATTTATACATAAAAAGTCATCACCATGAGTTATTTTATAATAAAATTTAAATTTCAAATATTGTAAAAGTCTCATGAGAAAAGTGTGCTGTAATGATGAAGATTTTAGACAAAGACTAGGGAGATATAAGTTTACCTCACCCTCAGAAGCTCACTGGATGCAGGTAAATTAGACTAAATAGACCAGACTAGGAAATCAAAGTCATGCAAGCTAAAACTACTTTGGCTGCAAGATTACAGCAGCAGAATCTTGCAACTCTGAATGTGCTTTCCCACTGTCTCACTTTATCTTCATGAAAATTAGGGAGGATTTTGTCTGAGGTGCTTTTTCAGATTACAATTCTTGGCTGAGACTCAGATTTCTTTTATTTGGCCATTGTCTTGGTAGTGGCTCTTCTTCTAGTTCGACAAGGTAATTCTTTCTGCCTGTTACATTGTATGACTATGAACCAGTCAACCTAATCTATCCCAAGGTCAATACTGGTGAAGAAAACAAGTATGCTACTTGAGATCCTAACAAAAGGAGTGATATGAGTAAAAGTAAATACATACATAAATAAACACATTCTATAAAAAGGAAGGATATTTACAGTGTATTGTTACATTTTTGTAACAATAATCCTTAATTATTGTTTATATAGTAAAATATAATAATGACCACTTTTTTATAAAAGATTTTAGAGCAGTGTACTGACATGTGGGCATAGAATTCAGTAGAAATTTAATGCCCCCTTAGGTACCCTTCAGATGTCAGATGTGTGGGACTGAAATTCTTATAATTCCCACCCAGTTGATCCTAAATAAATATATTAAGTATCATAAAGACTGTGAGGATTAAGCACTATTTTTATTATAGGAGTAGAACAAACTTCACTGGGGTCTCTATTGATGAAATGTTTACTTAGGAATTCAAAATGCAGATCAAAGATCTCTTTCCATTCACCATTTGGCCGCAGACATTACAATGCAGAAGGATGTCTCCAATGGTGGGAAATATAATTAAGCAGGAGAAAGGACAGAAGCAACAGAATAGAGTTTAGTATTCTTTGAAGCATTCTGGATGAGCCTGTCTCCTTTTGAAATTTAACAGCACTTGCTTTTTGTGTGGTAGAAGCTACTCTAGAGAAAAGAAGCTCTGGAATGCATCAAGATCATAATTATACATAAATTATTGCTTTCACTATAGTTCTCATTGTGTGTTTCTGGCTGAAATGACAGAAAGCAACTGTGTGTGCTCTTTACTGCTATGTGTCTTTGTACCAGATCAGGGCTGGAAACAAAGAATTCGTACAGTTTGAAAGGAATGACTATCCTTTCTTAGATGAGTATGATGTCTGATAGTTGGGTCCCAGTGTTCACTATCAGTTTTTCAGAAAACCTTGGGAAACATCTCCAACACACTCTATAAATCAGATAATACTTTAATAAGGTAATTACCAACTAATCTAGCTTTTAAATCATGTTTATTTCTGCAACATCAAAAAGCTGAGAACAAGGAACAAAAATGAAGCTAAGAAACACTCTATCTACTGGTCAATATTGTAGGAAAGTTAAAAAAAATAAATCAATCACAATGACAATTGCATGTTCCCTCAATCCCACTCTTCAAAAAGTGGAAAACTTTGCTAGTGTTCCTGCTATTTTTAAGGTTCTATTATATGCAGAGTTGCTATGAAGAGAAGCTTTCTAGATGCAAAGCTACCTTTCTTACTACATTTAAAAGTTCCTGCAAGACATGATAGTGAATTATATCGTGTTGATGATTTTTCAGTTACTGTAGACCAGTGGTTCTCAACCTTTTTAATGCCGCGACCCCAACCGGTCGTAAGTCGAGGACTAAACCGGTTGTAAGTCGAGGACTAAACCGGTTGTAAGTCGAGGACTACTCAACCGGTCGTAAGTCGAGGACTTTCCCTGCCAGGGAGCACCCCGCATGCGTGGTTCCACCCCCTGCGCCGGCCGAGGCATAGCTGGCAAGCGGCAGAGATGGAGCAGGCCAACCACCAGCTGGCCCAGCCCAAGGGAGGTAAGGCACCCGCCAGAAAAGGGGAAAAAAATGGCGGACAAAAAAAATGGCGGACAAAAAAAATGGCGGACAAAAAAAATGGCGGACAGCCTTGCTTGGCGACCCCCGTGAAATGGTCGATCGACCCCAAATGGGGTCCCGACCCACAGGTTGAGAACCACTGCTGTAGACACTTCTCCCAATATCTGTAGTTATGTTATCATAGCTGAAAAGGATGAGGTACCACACTATGGCTTCATCCTGCATTTCTTTCCAGAAAGGTTTTATGCATTTAAAATCCACTCCAATTCTCAGATCATTGTTCTGGCTCATATTTCTTTTATTTGGCTATTATCTTGGTACTGGGTCTCCGTCTTGTCCTCAAGATTATTCCTTCTGGAAGGATGATTTTGAACCAGTCAGCCCAACCTAACCCACAGGTGGACAATTGTGAAATAAAATTAGAGAAAGGAATTCTCTGTATGTTACCTTGAGTTCCTAACAAAAGGAATGATATGGATAAAAATAAATACATACATTCTCTAATGTAAGGTCCCATTCTTGTAACTATGGAATCCATTCTTAATTATTGTTTAGATAATAAAAAATAATAATGAATAGTGTTTGGTGTATCTGATGATGGTTTTGAATGTATTGTACAAAAAAGGGGTAAAACTATTAAACAAATATAGCAGTACAGCTGATTACTGCAGTGATATGAATAAGTAGAAATCTATCATATAACGCTTCAATCTAAGAATGTATTCAGTAAATTACGTTTCATTTCAAGAAAGAGATTTGCTTTTAATTTATTCTTTTAATCAATGTAGTCAGCATTACATATAGCAAAGCTTAATTAATATTTTAAAAATTGCCTAAGTCCTGTTTTAAATTCTCCTAGCTTTCTAATATCTCAGGATTTTATTCAATTTCCCCACAGACTGAACAATTTTAAATATTCTGAATATTTACTAGGATTATGCATGTTATAGAACTTAAAAAAAACTACTGGTTTTGAAAGCTCACTTTTCTAAGAATTTAAGACTCTGAATGGACATATCTGCCAGCATTCATTTTGCCAGGACTGCTAATTTTGACAGTAAGAACAAATGCTTGGAATTTAATACCAGAAGACTAAGTAGCCCAAGGTATGTCACAGCAAAAACATAATGCTATTTATTTTCTACTTTATTTAGAAGGCTATTTCAAGAAAATGTGCATGTCTAATAAAAAATAATGTGAGATCCCATTGCTGGAGTTATTTATTTTTTTACACTTTATGATGAGCCCTTTATTTTCAGATTCAAGGCCATTTGAAAATAGATAACAACAACAACAACAACAATAATGTTGGAAGGGACCTTGGAGGTCATCAAGTCCAACCCCCTGCTCAGGCACGTAAGATCTGTGGTTGCCTTTCTTCCTATATAAGTTAAGAAGTGGATACAATTTTGGGACAGGCTGAAGTTCTAGCAAACTGTATTTATATTGTGCCTAATACTAGTGATATAGTCTAACAATAGTTCATCATGGGGTTTTTTAAAGCTTCATATGAGAACAAAGAGATTAAACATGGAATATTTTGCATGCACCGATAGAACAGATAGTCCTGAATTTACAACAATTGGGAGCAGAATTGTTGTTAAGCAATGTGGCCATTGAGTTATCACATGATTAATTTTACAATCATTTTTACCATGGTTGTTAAGTGAATCAGACAGTCATTAAGTGAATCTGGATTCCCTAATTAACTTACTTATCGGAATTCAACTAGAAAGATAGCAAAGTGCAGTCATATAACCACAAAATGCTGCAACCATTGTAAATGAGAGCCGGTTGCCAAGTGCTTGAATTGTAATCACATGGTTGCAGGAATGGTGAGATGGCCATAATTTCAAGGACAGTCATAAACCACTTTTTCCAAGGCCATTGTAAATTCAAATGCCATTAAATAAACAGTTGTAAGTACTAACTGTAGTCCACTAGAGAGCTATACATTTCACTTGACAAAGGGTATGATAGTTAACCAGGATCAGAGGGTTAATACTTGGACAGGAGACCACCAAATGACTTAGTGCTATAGAGTACACCACGAAGTATAAAAAGAACAACAAAACTTTTCAAGGTGGCAGTGGCTAACTATATCTACAATAGGACTAAGAACATATTTAAACACATCCTTGTAGATGCCAAAAATTAAGCTTGATTCAATAGAGGCTTTATCTTTGTGTAAGTTAAGATAAAAGCATTTGAATTAACCATTCTTCTGATTAGCTTAAATGAAGGGCAACAGCGAGGTCGCTGTTAGTTCATGGATAGAAGCTTTCTAGGTATAAACTGTCTTACTGCTTCATTAGACTTTTCATTTAAACATTATTTTCTACATTAGCTGCAGCAGTTCTGTAGCATTTCAGACAGCGGCCTAGAGTTCCACTGGCTATTTTTATTTGGAGATACCAAAAATGGGCCTTCAGCATGCAGATCATATATCCTGGTGGTAAATGGTTCCTACTGTGCTCTTCACCATGCATGATTAAAAATTTACCTTGGCTTTCTTTTTACTGGCATCCATAATCCATTTCCAGTCTGATCCATTGTAGCTATATTCAATTTTAAATTTTCTCATGAAGACCTTGTTTTCTCTGTGTTTACCTCCCTGGACTATTATGCCCCGAATTATCTTTTCTTCACCAAGGTCTATTTGAAGCCATTCTTTTGTGTATGTATGACCATCTGGGGGTGGCAATGCCCATCCTATACGGCTTGTTATAAGACGGACGTTTTCTGGCACCCAATTCCGATCCAGTTCATTTGATGCTGTAATCTGAGAGTCAGCGATGAGTCCAGACACCATACCTAGCATGCCAGAGCAAGGATAATCTAAAACAAAGGGAAAAAAAGTACATGTGTGATTTGTATATACATCCCTACAATATCCATATGCCATTTTTGTCATTCTTTTTATCAGCTTTGCTACCATCATCTGCAGAGAATTGTATTATTGAGTGAATTAAAATAGAATAGCCAAAAAGACACTTTCGAGAATTACACTTTCGAGAATCTTGTGTAACAGACCCATAGATTGAATCATTAGGCTTCGCCAACTGTTTTTTTGACTGATGTGACTGAGCCAAAGCATTCTTCTTTACATTGTAATCACTCTCATTCAATTTTATTGAAAAAAGAGGGGGAATGAGATCCCAAGACCCCAAATTCCAAACTCAGAAGCACTTCATTCAAAAAGGAACATATTCTTTTCAGTTTATTTTTGTCTTATTTGCATAGAAACTCAGAACAGGAAGATACAAGCAGCTTATCTAGACCAGAACAAAATCTACTCACTTGATAAGGAACCCTAAAAACAGATCCTACATATAAACTATAGCTAGATTTACAAGAGGGTGGTTAGGAAAGTACATAGAAGTTTGTTGCAAGAAACCTGTTGCTGGAACAAAGGAAGGCAGAGTGATATTAGGCTTGGGTTGGGGGCGCGGGGAGCATCTAGATGAAAGTCTGGAGATAATTATTTGCAAGCTAAAAACTAGCTTATGCTAAGAAAAACCTGATAAACACACATAGTTGCACGTGCAATCTAGAAAATGAGGAAGAAATTTATAACCAATGATTGAACTTCTGCTCTTAATCTCTTTCAGCGGACGGTATAAAAATAGAATACAGTCCTTACTCAGGGTTCCTCTTTCTCTTTTGCTTTTGCTGTTGCTAAATTCAGCAGAGGAAGTCCTTTTGCTTCTGATCAGAAGTAAAGTGACAAATTTCCCCTTTCCTCCACTCTGCATGATTGATTGGCCTTCACTCCCGGGTAAACGAACCAGAGATTGGCGTTTGGCCATCAGGAAGGTACAGATCATAAGCCAAGAGGGCTACTGAGTAATGGAAAAGTGTGTTGAAGGAACAATAGTACTGATAAAGCCAACTGCAATAAAATCTTTGGCTAGTTTACAATAATGAGGTTGATTCAAAAATACCACCAGGACAAATTCTAGAGTAATTCTAAAGTACTACGAAAACTCCCAAAAAATAGATGGGAGGAAGGAAAGGAAAACCCTTCCACATCAGAAATTTATTTAATTGGTAGAATATTTTCAGGAAATTGAAAGTTAGAATTTCTTAGTATTAATGAAGACATTTGAGGTGGAATTTTTTTCTTTCTTGAGTTTTTTTTTGCAGCTATGCAAATTTTTTGTTAAACTGTTAAAGTTTAGTTTACATTGTTTGATAAAAATAGATTATGTCATCTGTACCATATTCCTCCATCCATCCATTTACCTCTTCCTGTTATTTTCCTTCCTAATCAATACTGGTTTTTTGGGAAGGACAGAAACACTGGAAAATATGTTTGCAACATTTTTAAAATATGCAATTAATCTGATTAATGAAATAGCTTAGATTAATGGATTTTATTTTAGTTAGAAAGATAAAATTAACCTCCTAGTAATTTTTTCTTTTAATTAATCTGTATGTTTGTTCCTTGCTTCTAAAACACTCTCTTTATCTGAATAATGCAATGTGAACACACATATCATTATAACAGATGATGTAACAAGTAAAAAGCTAACATCCCTGCCTTCACTCAGACATAAGGGAATACCATCCATATGCAAGAAGATCTTCCTTATTTCTTGTTGTCCATATAACTGAATGGGAAGATATTACAAGAAGAAGGACTCTAGAGATGATTGGTAGACCAGCACAAATATTTTAATCATTTTTATTAACCTTCTGTATGCATTATCTCCAAAGCCTTGGACTGTTTGAATTGGGAAGAAATTGTAACTAAATTACATATTTAGTTCTTACATATTCTTATGTAAGATAGGATAAGTGTTGATTTCTGTCTAATGGATAAATATTGAGATACTGGAGTGGTCTCTGCATTGTTTGTGTGTGTGGTTATTATTTACATGGTTTCATTTCCTAATTCACAAAGCTAGTATTTGGTTTCACGGACCTTCATGTATTGCAAGTACTTTCCATAATCTAATCTGCACAAATTCAAAAAAAACCTAGATGGCAACAAAATTAACTTTTTTGAGTAACTGTTTACCCCATCTAGTGGCTGCTCAGTTTTTGCAGCTTCTATCTACTCATAGAGAACTACTGATTTGGTCATATAAAATAGAAAATCACGATAACAATTTGCTGTCTTTTTAAGACAACCAGGGATTACTTGTAAACCTGGAAATACATAATATCACTCTTTAAAAAAAATAAAGTAAATTCTTCATAGTCCTTACCGGTAATTTTACAGCCATAAATTTCCAATCTCAGTGATATCCCAGTTTCCCAGTTTACAGGCTTGATTCGAACAAAACGTGTGAGAACTGGCTTGGGAAGAGATCTATAAGCAATGTCAGTTGGGTTGGTGTTCCCCATGAATAACTATAGAAAGAGAAAACATTTAAGATATCCCTCAAAAATATTTGAACCATGTTTACCCACATAAATATTTGAGTCATATTGCAAAAATAGAAATTATTTTTATTGATGATAACAATGATTGTAATAATTATAAATTCAAAAATGATCACATTCCCACTGAAGAAAAGGATAATCCAGAGTAAATATAGGATATTGAATTCTTGCAGTTCCATATGGTAACTTATAATTGACAATGTTTACCTAGATAAAATTAAACAATATTGAATTATACAATAAAACACAGGGGGATTAAGATTTCTACTGCTAAGGACACTAACTTTGACTCATTGAAGGTGAGGATATCTTCAGTGGTGGGATTAAAATATGTGAACAACCGGTTCTCTTTGTGGATGCTGCTTCTGGAAGTCTATTCTGGGCCTGGGCAACAAGAAATTAGCTACGGGTTCTGCCGAAGTTGTGCGAACCGGCTGAATCCCACCATTGGATATCTTGTTTCCTTATGAATAATTCCAATATATAGTTTTCTTATGATACTTCCAATATTTAGTATAATCTAGGTATTCTATTTATCTGTGTTTCACTACTTCTTAATATTATTTTTAGACAATCAAGAAAGGCATTCAAAGACGAATAACATATATTCTGCTCTGTTAAGAAAGATGTATTATAATAGGGTGCATATTTAGACTGCAAAAATGCAGAATATTATCAGACGGAAGCAAAGATATATTTTAATGTTTAGTTTTATAATTTTAATATGACTTTATTTTTGGTTTAGCTTTTGATTGGGAGTTGCCCAGAGTTGGTTAAAAGATGGATGGCTATATAAATGTTTTAAACAAACAAGCAAGCAAACACATTTAGAAAATCTTTTGCTGTTGTCTGGCTTTTACAGCCCAGACATGAATACGCCTATAAGTAAGTCAAATTCTTCATTGACTAAGTTCAAGGAAGGTGACTAATTTCCTTTTTCATTAGACAATGCAAAGTCTCAATTTCCTGATGTTAGACATTTTTCCGTTTTTAGGCAGTAATTTCTTAAATCTTTTCCCAACTTTCCTGCTTTGTATTTTCTTAGAGCAAAATAGTACTGTAGTAAAGGAAGTTGACCATGTCATTTAAACCTGTCCATATAAGTAGCTAAAATGCAATTAGTTGTAATATTGATTTTAGCTCCTGTTTATCCATTATAAATGGGCTTTAATTGTTCAATTGTTTCTACTTTCTTGGGACTGGACAGCTAGAAATATTTCTGTCTCCATTTTGGGGCAACTAAAACATTATTGTCTCACTTCCCCTTGTAATAGTCTTACTAAAAATTGCTCTTACTGTTGTTGTTTTTTTAAAATGGGAAGGAAGTAGTAATGGAAGATCAGCAGGAATTTCTTGCAAACATTAACTCTGTTTAGTATCAACCATCTGTTTAACTTATTAATATTAATTGCACAGGAAAGTTAGGCCAAGGCCTGTGGTAAAGTTTGGCTGTCTTTCAGACAAACAGGATGAAACAGCCAAGTGGTTATCTGTTATTCATGATAAAGGAAGTGCAGCAGAAGTACAAAGGTTGGGTTATATGAGACTTTTAAGGTATTTCCAAAATAAATAAGACATATCTGGGGAAATGTACAAAGCTTTGACTGACAATTTTTGCTAAATATTATGGAACCTATATCAAACTGAGGAAACTGGTACATCTGATGTACCATTTTAATGCAGCGTTTCTTTTTCCCCAATTTTTAAAAGATTGCTACTTGTTGATAAAATAGAAGACAAGCAAGCACCAGTGCACAACTGAGGCACTTCAAATATAATCCACGACACTAATTTGGTGAAAACAAGGACTTTTAATTGGTACTATTCTGTAGACTTCTTTAATATTTTCATATTAAGGAGTCACAATTAACTGGGAAATACATGACTCTTTTATTTATGCTTCAGACTTTTACTGGGTATGATATATATTATTGCATGGATTATTTTTACCATCTGCAGTCTAACAGAAGTAAGAAACAAAATCTGGGAATCTGAAAACAAAATCTAAAATCTAAAGAAAAATTAGACATAATCCAGACAAGACCAAGGATGTTTAGTTTGGGAAAGCAGTTAAATATCAACAATTATAATTAATGGGTTTAAAAGTGTTTCATTTTGATGATTTAATCTTCTTGTTTTCCATGCTGCAGCAATGAAGCATTTTATTATAGAATGTCATTTTTATGCCTATAAATTACTAAGGAGTGATATAACAAGAAAAAAAATGATTGGAGAAAAACTATAAGGATTATTTCAGTGTGCTAGAATTTGTCTTTTGAGGCTATTTTATTTTCTCACTGTTTTTAACTGATTAGTAAAATGACCAATAGGGTAAGCATAATTGATTTGTTTAAAGCACTGATAACTGTGGGCAGCATGGTGGTTCAGGGGTGGCATGATGGCTCAGTGATTAAGACACTGGGCTTGTCAGCTGAAAAGCAGGCAGACTAAGTTCAAGACCTGAGTGCCTTGTGAAGGGGTGACCCCCTGTCCTCATCCCAGCTTTTGACCACCCAGCAGTTTGAAAGCACCCAAATGCGAGTAAATAAATAAATACCACTTTGGTAGGAACTGTGATGCCATGCTGGCCACTTGACCATGGAAATGTCTTTGGACAGCACTGGCTCAATGGCCTTGAAACGGAGTTGAGCACTGCCCCCTATAGTCTGCAGTGACCAGTGGCGTAAAATCTACAGGGACTCCTTTTACTGATAACTGTAACTAAATTCAGAATTTTATAAATTCGTAAATAGTCAAGAACATCATACAGATGAAAAATATTACCAAAGGTTTATTATTTCCATCTTTAATGGATATCCAATCTTCTCCATTGGAACTAATATCTACTCGATATATTTTCAGAAAATACATTTTTTTTGTTTCTTTTGAGATTGCTCCTTGAGTCCCAATGGCAGATACAAAGCGGAGAACGCCTATGTCTACCTGTGGGAAGGAAAGAGGAGAGGTAGGGAGAGAAAGGAACAAATTACATGTAATCTATATTCTAATGTGTCATATGCTGAACAAGTAACACTTTGCTTCTTTAGAATGTGATAAGACAATCCTGTTATTGATAGTGGTACTCCTGCCGATTCAGCTATGACATCCGCTTCAAGGTCTTGCTCTGATAGTACTCTTATGGCATAATGTTGTCTATATACATCTTCCAACAATAAAAATATATCTGCTCAATATATAAATGCAAGCAATTGTTCATCTGTACCACACACTCAATGGGAAGAATGGTAGACAATGTGTATATGGTCTGAACAACTGGAAATGTCCAATATCCAGTGGCCCTTTGGACCAACACTTCAGCAGGCTGATAAGATATTGTTGCTAAGATAAAATCAGAAATTTCCAACTTTGTATTCATGAGAATTTAATTTGCTTACATGCATAGGCTTTTTTGAATCTTGACTGCTGGGTATACATTATTCACACATATCTATATCTATTTATCTCTATCTCTATCATCTATCTATTACATATTTCAATATGTTGTTGCAACTGGAAGATTTCAAAACACATATATTTCTCTCATTTACAATCTGCATGGATTAAATTAGGAAGAAAAAATCAAATCAAAATCTCCCAATCTTCCAAAGAACAACCCTTTCTATTATTGCAAAACCAAATCCTTTTATCAAACTGATTAAAATGGCATAAGACTGCACTGGGAATACACACCTATCAATAACTGAATGTTCAAAATAGAATGATAATGTAAAATCAAATATTTTCTTATCTTACAAATATGACATCTAAGGGTTTATAATTTGGTGAAATTCTCTAGGAGATTATTCTCCAAACATTACCCAGACATTAGAAGGGTGCTTTGAAACTGCTTGTCTTAAATATCCCCACCCATCAACCTTTTTAATTATTTTGAGGCATGCCGGATGCAGATTGCATGTCTCTAGTGTCCGTCAAGCATCCTTTTTCCTGGAAGCATGTCATACATCCAAAAGCAAAGAGAGTTGGTGGATGGATGGGTTAAATCAACATAATCTCTTAGGGAAAATATGAAGGAAGTCCTGTTGAAGATAGACAGGCTGCTATTTAGATTTACCTAGATAATGTACAACCATTAGGAAACTAAAAATCTTGAGGAACAAAAGTTACAGAGCAAAGCTTTTGGGATCAGAGAGACAAGCATTGCTCCCAGTTTTGATTTTAAAAAGTGCTTTGCTTGTCTAAAGTTTTGGAAATGCTGAACAGTTTAAATAAATGTCTGGAGAACAACGAAAAATGAGGTACAGATCTATAGTTTTTTTATCTATTGTTTTAATTGTTATTTATTTGACAGGTGTACAGCTAGTCCTTGTTTACTGACTGCCTCATTTAGTGATTGTTCACAGTTACGATGGCACTGAAAAAAATAACTTTATGATCAATCCTTGCATTTATGACCTTCACAGGTCTGTAAAACAAAGAAAAACTGAAGTACATTAATAAGCAAGGGCTCACTAAACAAGAACTACCAGTGATCAAAATCATGTCCTTCTCATGTTCACCCATGGTAAAACAAATGATTCACACATTTCTTTCATAAGGCATATGTTCTTGTATAAGAATGGCAGGTTATTTTGAGCACTCTACCGATAAAAAAGGAATTCTCACCTCTGCTTTCTGCTTTTGACTACAGGTATGCAATCAAGAGCGGAGTGCTTTTTATTCAAGATATTTTGAGCTTAAGGGAAAAAAATTGTGCTACTCTGAAAGAAATCAGGTGGTCTACGGTAGAAAGTCAGGCCAGATCAACTTGAATTGAAGCGCCCCCCAGATAGTATGGTGTTGATTAGGGATTTGCATCATGTCTAGTTAAATATGCAATTTTAGCCTGAAGAGTTCTTAGAAACCGATTGGACTTAAAGAATGAATAAAGGTGTCAGAGAAACAATTTTTTTTTAAAAAAAAAACTCCTTCAAGTTTGAAATAGTGATCCTCTCAAGAACATAATTTGAAGTGAGTTAAAATGTCTCTATGTGGAATTTTCATGTGAGTGCTTTTTTAAACAACTCCTATTTTCTTTTAAATAACCAGTAAGTCTTTATTGTGAATGAAGTCAGGCAATAGCCCATAATAAGTGTTCTACAAATTAAAACCCAGTTTTTGTGAAAGAAAGAGGAAAACAGCTCCTAAAACAGACTCCAATTGTTCAGTGATTTAATTGCATTGATATTCAGTAATTAAATTATGTATTTGTTTTACTGGAGCAGTAAAAGCCACAGTAACAAAAGGACAACACAACAAAAATCCATCTTGGATAGTCTATGTCAAATACATCTGTACTCCTCAACTGAGGAGAAAGAAAACAAAATATCAAAATAAAAAGAGGAAAGCACCATCAAAATTAATAAGATTGAAGAACATCTTGGGTAATATAAAAGCTCTTTCTTAATGCTTAAAAAGCCAGAAAACTGGAGCAAAGCAAATCTCTTTGGGGAAGGCGACTAGAACTGGGATGCAGTATTTTTTATTTTTTTTTAAATCCTCTTTTCAGAAAGAATCTATTATCACAAATCTTTATTACAGGTAATCCCTGACTTACAATAACAAACCAAAAATTTCTCTTGCTAAGCAAGATGGTTATTATGTGAATTTTGCTCCATTTTACGACCTTTCTTCTCATAGTTGTTAAGTGAATCATTGCAGTTGTTAGGTTAGTAACATGGCTGTTAAGTGAATCTGGCTTCCTCATTGACTTTGCTTGTCAGAAGGTCACAAAAGGTGATCACAAGACCTAGACACTGCAGCTGTCATAAATATGAGTCAATTGCCAAGCATCTGAATTTTGATCACATGACCAGGAGATGCTGCAATTGTCATATGTGTGAAAAATGGTCCTAAGTCACTTTTTTCAATGCTGTTGTAAATTCGAAGAGTCATTAAATGGTTGTAAGTCGAGGACTATCTGTATATGGAATCAGCATGTTATAGCTATGTAAGATTCAACTGTGGACTGCGATGAACAGTTTGATTCTCTAGGCCAGGGGTAGGCAATCTTGGCTCTTTTATGACTTGTGGACTTCAACTCCCAGAATTCCTGAGCCAGCCATGCTGGCTCAGGAATTCTGGGAGTTGACGTCCACAAGTCATAAAAGAGCCAAGGTTGCCTACCCCTGCTCTAGGCTATCTGTAGGCTATTAGGGCAGAAGCAGACTTTTCTATCTCTTTCATGGGGGCATTTAAAAATCTGATACACGCAGATTTTCAGGTGTTGGGAAATCTCCTCTAACTACGGTAGCAATATGATTACTTGGCAGCTATTTTCTCTTCTTTCCCACCTCCCTTTCTTTTGACTTTTCCTACCTTGTTTTCTAAGCCTTTTTATCGGAAAAAAACATCTGTTTCACATTAAGATGAATAATATAGGAATGCAGTGATGAAAGACTGTATATCTGATGCTGAACATCAAATAACCTGACAGAAAAGCATGATTTAAACATGTGAGCAAGAAAATACTGGGAAGATTGATATTTGAAAGTTCTATAGTATCAGCCCAATTTAAAAACAACTTTACTTTTCATCCTCAAGATTAGGAGCCTTCTTTGTTCAATATTTTCTTCTTTTACTACATTAAGTTCTATGTCAAGCAAACAATCTGATGGCATTTTCTTTTTTATTATGGCCTGACTGTATACATAGAATTAAGACTGTCTGAGTGTTTTGTTAGCAAGAGAAAACTGCACGTTTACATGCTATTAAAAACTATTAACCCAATGAGTTGTAGTGGGCCAACGTGCTTGTGAGCGTGGCCTAGAGATTAAGTTCTTGCCTCATAATCAGGAGGCTGTGAATTCGATCCTAGATAGCAGCAGATATTTCTCTCTTTGGGCTCAATAATTACTTGTCTGCTCGCAAACTCTACATAGCCATCAGGAAAGGCATCCAGCCAATAAATGTTCCAGCTCCATTCAGTCGCCCTGACTCCACCCCAATGCAAGGGATTTCAGGGTTTTATATATATATATATATTTCACACAAAGTCTCATAGGCACATCTGTTATAAACATATGAAAACAATGTCACAAGGAATTAAATGTACCTTTCACAGATTGATTATCTGTGTGACATTTACATCTCACCTCATATTTAAAAAGTTGCCATTGCTTAGAAAGATGAAGACTTAAAATATCGAATATATTTTGTCCAATTGAGTCCACTAATCTTCCATTTAACTCTTTCCCAATTTGTTTATTTAAATGTATATGTATAAATAAATGTATAAGTACTACATTCTAAGTAAAATTAAAAAATAGTAAAAGGACTACAGAATAAAAATCTTAAATATTGATAGTACAGAGGAAAAAAATGGTAAATGGAAAATCAAGATAACATTTCTGTTTTAACTGGGCTACTTCTTAGGCTCCAACTAGAATAAGTAGCACTGATGTCTCCTTATATCAAAGAACTTTCTATTTTTCTCTTGGTAATTTGTATGTATATTTTTACAGCTCAAGTTTTAATCTGTGCTGTAGGCAGAACTGCATTGAAAGGTTTTCCAAATCTCAGCTCTATTTGTCTTGTGATGTAAGAAGTCAAATGAAGTCTACATCATTAGAAGACTGCCTCGTAAGGTACTAAATAAATCTCAGGGATTTTTTTTTATGTGATAGGAATTTAAAAAAAATCAAGGCAGTGAATTATTAACCATATAGTCAGTCAGTGGGCTGCATTCAGCTTTGTGGACAACCAAATTGTCTGAAGTTCCTTCATTCAGAGTCCATTTAGCAAGAGTAAAGTAGTGTATTTAGCTACTGTGCAGTAAATCATGCAGCCAAATGGGTGGTTAAACAGTCTGTGAGCACAACATACAGTGTGAAATGAATCTTCTTGCTGCCTACAATCAAGCAAACACAACTGCACCATAAATGCAAAAGACTCATTTTGAAAATGAAAATCTGTCATGCATAATAAAACATAGCTGAGACTGCTGT